TTTCATCGATCAGATTAAGAGTGAAGGATTACGGTGGGGAGGTGACTTCAGGACCACAGATCCGATACACATCGATGATGGGTATAATCTGAATACAGACAATTATAAAGAACTTTACGAGAAGATCCATGAAGAATGCTGACATTTTTTTCTCACGATTTGAAACTGTCATTTGTGCCACGATAATTTTCTATTATTTATTCTTGAAATTGTTCAAGTGCTTTGACGAAATATATTGTGTTGCTTATTCTTTTTCTTTCATAATAAAGAATCGTATGATTCAAGACACGCATTAGTCTATTCGACAGATTGTTAGTGTTGAAGTTGCAAAGCAATTCAAGGTTTAGAGTCATGCATATACCTTTATCCATACTCACCTATCCTAGCTTAAGTGCATTGACGTTGTCTAGAAGTTTTTTTTATTCGTTTCAGTCACTGATTCTTCACGAAGAGCCCTGAACCTCTTCAAGATTAAATGGAATTTACACCTTTCATTCTTCTCATGATGACGAAAACTAATCCTTTGACATTCTCAAATTGGTAATATTGAATATATCTTTAGCAGGCGGTTATGACTTTATTGTCATTTTCGATAGTTTTACCCTTGTTAAAACATTGAAAAATAGCGCACAAATTTCATGAGTCTGAGTATTTCAGTGAAGAGCAGGTACGCACCAACATCTACCCAAATCACCCATACCAACACCCACGACAGCATATTACACATACCTTCAAAAGCAGAAACCTCAAAACATAGACTTTATAGAACGTAATTTCGTTCCTGAAAACTAGAACGCATTTAGGAACACAAAGTAATAGTTAATACATATTTTGATAATGACCATTCATATACTTTGTTACAAATACGATTCTGTTATAATTCTGCTTACGCTTTTAAAGTCTAATTAGATTTTAGAATATAAAAAGAATCAGATCTATATCACTATTAATCATTTTTATTTAACTAGCAATTAAGAATGCAAAAAAAAATACATCAGTATAGAAAATTCTGAATTCTACTTGGTATGCAATCTGAAACTGCTGGATATTGATGGGAAAAAAATTCGGATATGATCCTGTCAAGTTTGAATACAGAAATTTAGCTTTTCATGGGTGCAGATCCACATTTTTGTGGGCCTGCAGCTCTCTATATAAAACAATAATAGATAAGTATCTTTACTTATAGTTTGGTTTATTGGATCATTATTATGCTTAAAATCCCTCTGAAAATGGTCTTGATCTCTACATGAGTAAACAAACTTTATGCTCTTCAATGTTGATTTGAAACAATATGCGTCATGTAAATCTTTTGGTTTTATCTTATCAGTACTCGTGCACATGGCCACATCACTCTCCAATGATATTTTTGAGAAGACTAGTAAGATAAGAATTAGTGAGTTTGTTAGCATATTTCAGTTTTTTAGTTGAAATCTTATGTTTTTCAACTTCTGAGGAGTTATTATTTCAGATTGCCGACTTTGAATTTCAAATATGGCTGCTCAATTCAGTGATGGAACGTTAAAAAGTCTCAAGTATGGATCAGAAATAAGCAACAATGCATAACTAAATCTAATTTTCTAGTCTATTTGAAAATTCACAAACTTCTCAATCTCGTTCAAAAAAAATTTTTATATTGCTTGGTATTCTTGTTGGACTTCTTGCTATTTCTACAGCTGTATTAGCTGTTATAATAGCTATGAAAAGCAAAACAACAGAAAACAATAGTATCATTCTTTGTTATTTTATATCAAGAATCATACAATGAGAAAACAATTGTTTGTATTTTAGTGAATAATGAACTATGTACAACTCCATATTGTGTTAAAGCAGGTGAATTTCTTCAAAAAATAAAGTGCATTGTCATGAACTTTACATTTTAGCTAATTATTTAATTGAAAGTATGGATGAAACAGTTGAACCATGCGAAGACTTTTATAATTTTGTCTGTGGTACATGGATTAAAAATTCTCGAATACCTGATGATGGTAACAGAAAAATATTGTAGATAATTGGCAAATTTTAAAAATATTCTTTCTAGCTGATGCCATAAGTACATTCAATTTATTACGAACACAATTAGATTACAATGTTGTCGGTAAGATTAAATCTATACTAATTTACAAATAAATATTGTTTATATACAGATCTATTAACACCATCACCTCGTAATGATACAAATGAACCTAAAGCTATTACAAATGCTCGTATATTATATCATTCATGTATTAATGAACAAAATATTGAAGATGAAGACATTGATTTAATTCTTTCATTAGTTAATAAACAATTAGGTGGTTGGCCTATATTACAAGGTTCATCATGGAATAATTCTACATTTAATCTATTGAATCTTTTACTTAAATTACGACAATACAATAATGATATTATATTTGGTATAGGTACATCAATCGATGAAAAAAATTCCCAAGAATATGATATTGCAGTAAGTAAAAAAAGATTTATTTATGTGATTTTCTCTTGATTATGATAGATTGGTCAAAGTGATCTTGGCTTAGGCCAACGTCAATATTATTCTAATGAATCAAAAATTACTACTGCTTATAAACAATTTATATATGATTTAGCAACAGCTTTAACAAATGATACATCAATGATTGACAAAGATGTTAAAGATATATTTGATTTTGAAAAAGAAATTGCTAAAGTACTGCAATTTATTTTTCAAATGTTTATTTATACTATTTTATATAGCATTATTGGACAACTGATGAACGACGAAATCGACCAAATGCAACAGTTCGTACGACTGTTGGCAATCTTACACGATTATTAAATACTAGTGTTAGTTTTTAGTTTCATGGTTTGTTTCTGTTATATTTTTTATTTGTATAGTTTGATTTCACTAATTATTTAAAATCGGCATATTTATCGAGTGAAGTAAACATAGTTAATGATGATATTGTAACTGTTGGTGAACTTGAATATTTGTATAATGTTTCATCAATTATTGATGGAACTTCATCACGTATATTACAAAATTATGTCATATGGCGTTTTCTAATGCATCGAGTTGATAATATGCCAAAACGATTTCGAAGTATAAAAGAAAATTTTCAACATGTATTTCGAGGTACGACAGCTGAACAATCACGTAAGATTATTTGTGGAAATTATGTTAATGGTAATATGGGATTTGCTGTTTCAAAACTTTATATTAAAAAATATTTTGATGATAATGCTCGAAATCAAGTAACATAACAACATCTCTATTGTTTATTTATTTTCACTTTTCTTTTTAAATTCAAAGTCTTTTGAAATGATTGGTAATATTCGAAAAGCATTTATTAATATGCTTGAGCAAACGACGTGGATGGATGAAACGTCAAAGAATAGAGCAATAGAAAAAGTAAGATTGATGAAAAAGGAAACTCAAAATTCAAATGAAATTTGATTGATAGGCTAAAGCTATTGATGAAAAAATTGGATATCCGGATTATTTGGCTAGTGATAATGTGACGCAACTTGAAACAGAATATGCGGAGGTGAGTAATATCTTGTAAATTCGTATTATTCATAAAAATTGATCTTGATAAAACTAATTATTCCACTAACATTCCAATCTATTGAAGGGTTTTATTTGATTTAAAAAAATTTTCTCGTGCATTTTTTTTATCTATCATTGTTTGTTGTGGTATTATTCAGTACATATTCAATTCCTCGTACATCAGTAATGTTTTAAAACTGCTTCAAATAAAAGCGAAAACAGACTTTCAAATTCTTCGAAAACCAGTGGATCGTAAAGCATGGGGTTTTAGTGCACCTACTGTTGTCAATGCGTTTTATGCACCATCAAAAAATCAAATAAGTATGCTTTTATTTTCACTTCTATCACATTTTTTTTTCTTTCCTATGTTTAGCATTCCCAGCTGGTATTCTACAAATGCCATTTTTTGATAAAGATGCACCAAAGTAAAAATCATGATTTACTATACATTTTGAATCATATTTAAATCTTTTAGATATCTTAATTATGGTGGTAAGTATTCATATTTAATAATTTTAACCTTTAGATCATTGATTATTTACTTAAATTAATTAAAATGTTCAAAATTTTCAATAATTATGTATCATTTAGCTATTGGAGTAGTTATTGGACATGAGATTACTCATGGATTTGATAATAGTGGTCGTCAATTTGATAAGGATGGAAATCGAATCCCATGGTGGACGGATGCAACAATACAAGAATTTAATAACCGTAAAACATGTATTGTTAATCAGTATAGTAATTATACTGTACCACAGACTAATATGAAGGTTATAATTCTTAGTCTTTAATTATTTTGTTTTTTTTATTTGATATTTTATTCTCTAGGCAAATGGGAATCAAACACAAGGTGAAGATATTGCTGATAATGGTGGATTACGCGAAGCATTTTTCGTGAGTAACATTGTATAATACTTGAAAAAAATTATATGTGTATTTTATAGGCTTATCAAAAATGGACGAAAGCCAATCCAAGTGTTGATAAAAAACTTCCAGGCCTTTCAAAATATACACCTGAACAAATGTTTTTTATTAATTATGCTCATACATGGTGTTCAAAAATGACTGATTCATATGCACGAAATCGTGTTTTATCAGATGTTCATTCATTAGGACCGTTAAGGTAAATAATTTATTCCATAGTTTTGAATTTTATAAAAACTAAATTTATTTGCTTTTAAAGAGTTATCGGTCCAACATCGAATTTTGTTGAATTCGATCGAGTATTTAATTGTCGACCAGGTCAGGGAAATAGTCGAGTAGAAAAATGTATTGTATGGTAGTGAAATTTTTATTTTTTTTAAATGGAGTATTGTCCTTTTCTTTACTTTTTTTTAATAAATAAAAACAAAATTTTCTAATCATTTTAAAATAATATATCAGAAGTTGTATTTTCCCATCAGAAATGAATTGAATGAGAACGATACCATCTTGTCTTATTTATGTTAAAAATTGTAAGTTTACGTCTTTCGATGTTTTGTTTTAATGTAAAATGTTTCTTTTAATTTTAACTTTAATTACGTATACAACAGCAAGTCAAGTGTATTTTCAAGGAATCGAACTTCTCTCTGATGTAAATTATAGTCAATATTTTAGTGGTATTCCAGCTTGTTCATCAAGTCCAACTGAATGTGTCAAAGCACCTCGATACCGTATATATAATCCATTTTCTACTACACTGAATAAGAGTGCATCTTGGCAAATAGCACAATGGGCTAGTCATTCAAATTTATCCACTAATGGTACTTTAATTGAGGATGAAAAAAGTAAAGGTATGCAATGGTCAACAGTAGATAAACGTTTTATAATTTTTCAGGATGGTCGTTTACAAATGGTCGTGAATGGATATCATGAATATGATGGTCAATATGAACCACTTGATGCACCATGGATACATCTTCTTATACAGCAAGATATTGGAATAACAGGTGGTTCTGTACCATTGAGTCAAATTAATGAATTACGATGGAATTTAGATGTTCAACTTTTATATATGAATCAACATATTCAACCACGTTATGATCCTAATCTTCATGGTGGCATTTTTCCACTTTATATGACGATTCAAAATCTAATACAAGGAGATCCAGAATATGGTAAATATTTTTGGTTAGGTATTTGTTTATATGATGATCGTGTTCTTATGAGTTCGTCATATGTTAATGGTGATATAGATACTGGTTCATTAATATATTCACCAGCTTTTTCAAATTTTGCTAATATTTCTGTTCATTCTGAACGTATTGTACATGTTTCTAGCGATACGATACCATTGGTTTGATTAGGACTTCAAGCAGCTGTCGAACGTGGTTTTTAAATTCAAATGATCTGAATAAATATTTTGTTGGAGGAATGAATATTGGTTGGGAAGTAACGGGTTTAAATAATGGAACAATTGAAATAGGAAACCTTAGTTTAAAACAATATACTGCACAAAATCCAAAATCTTATGAATTTAATTGTGATGGTGATGCAGAAGGATGGAAACAAATATCTGATTTACGTCAATATACGGATAGTTCATGGAATGGAATATAGTTTTTATCATCAATCAGTAATAATCTTCAATTATTAAGTCCCATACTTATGATTGATACATCGATAGTAAAGAAAATAATTATCAAAATGAGGAATCATAATATATCTGATCAGTATTTTCAATTATTTTGGAGTATAAACAACGAAGAATTATTTATCGATGATGATAGTATTTTAGTACAAATGAAACATGGCAAAAAATGAAAAGAATATATATTAGATTTGTCAAATCACTTGAAATGGAAGGGCATTATACATCAATTTCGAATTGATTTTATACAGAAAAAAAATAATATTAAAGCTGCTATTGATTATATTCGATTTGCTGCTGCTCGTTGAGATAATCTATTGACAAAAATGAAAAACAGATTTTGCCAATTTAACTATTATAGAATATTAGAATTTGTTTTTTTTCCTTCTCGAATATAAAAATAGAATCTTGGTAATAAAGTCTTGGCGTTGCTCCGTACTTCACATTTTTTAAAAATCTTTTCATTTGCCAGGTTTCTGATACTGACAAAAGAAGTACTCAGAGCCTTTCCGATCTTATTTTATAAAAAAATAGAACATCAAAATCGAAAAAAGATGCATATAAGTACGACTTATAAGTAGTTGTTTGATGTCTTCTTTTATCTGTCATTTTAAGGTTTGAAAGTATCATTATTCTGCACTTATTTCGTTATTATATAAAGGTACTGTTGTCTAGAATATGCAAAAGGTAATAATAATTGTTTTTTTTTTTACTTTTTTTCTATAATTATTTTCATATGAAAACTTACTTGGAAGTTTACTTATGATAGAAATACATTCTATAGTATCTGTCATCTCAATTTCAGAGTAATGTGAAACTAGTGGATGATTAAATATGATCTTCAAGTGTCCTTTTTTCTCTAAATACAAACATGATTCAGTAAATTAACTACACAACAAATAAAAAGTGATGCAGATAAAATAAAAAAATCTTCCTATTTAACAATCTCTCGCTGCTAACAATACTCGTTATTGAATAAAACTATTTATGCATCTAGAACCTCATGCATATTGTATCGTATGCATGAAAAAAAAAACATCTGTTGAATGTGCTCTAGAAAACTGACATGGAGTAGAAATTTTTTTTTTTTGTTTTTCAGTTTACAAGATTTTTTCTATGAATAGAATTGCAATCATAAATTAATCTTAATCAAAACTATTTTTAGTCTCTATATAATCTGTTTCAATCCTATATGCTGATTATTTTACCATGGAAAAAAACATATTGATAATGCGATGTTATTTTTAATGCGTTGTTTAATCTGGCATAGACAAAAATTTGAGAAAAAACATACATATAAACATTTAATTAGTATTCTCATTTATTTATGTCGATATTTTATTTCATAAAATACTTTCATAATTAAGAAATTAGTTTCAATTCACTTGATTTTTATACAGCAATATCGAAGTATCAATGAATGTTTTGTAGATAAAATAAAAAAAAAGAATTTTAATCATTTTGAAAATTATGTACTATTTTATACGGAAATGACAAATAATTTGCATTTCTAAGCTTTACATTTGTTGACATTGACAACTAAACAAAACAATTCATTAAATATATTAATCAAAAAAAAGAATGTCAGTATTTTAGTTAACGATAAAGTACTTCAGAAGAACAATAATTTAGTCTAGATTATACTTAATAATTGAAAGTTTTAAAATTATTCTTTTTTGCATGTTTCTCGAATATATTAGACAAATATATATACACATAATTACTTTCACATAGAATTTTTAAATAGACTAATCAGAATTTTAAGACTGTTTAGGATTAAAAAAGAATGAAAATTGAGTTCTTTCTGTGTTCATAATCATTGGACATAAAAATGTCAGCGATGGTCTGTAATCAAGATACAATTAACAGGACAAACAAAGTTTGAAATTTTCTCTACACTTTAATCAGTACTGTCTTTATTATTAAATGTTGCATATTGATAATTCTAAATGTTCCGTAAATCCTTAGTTTACAGTGCAATTAGTTCTATTGTATTTGACGTTGAAAAAAAAGAATCTTGCAAATATTTTTCTAAAAGGCTTTCTTTTACTATCATAATGCGCTTCTTGTTTCAACTTAATCAAAAAACGACTCGTTATATAAGAAGATAAAAAAAAAGCATATTTTATGCGAGCATACATCAACAAAGTTTCCAATGCATCTTTAATTATTCACATTTAATAAACTATTCAGGCTTTAACCGTCGATATATTTTTAATATAAGAAAAACTTATATCTAAAAAGAACATTATGGATATTAAATACACTATAAGTGAGTTTTTTTTAATTAATGTTTAACAAGTTTTATATTTAAGAATAACTCAACGTTAACGTCATTAAAAAAGTTTATTTACATAGGAAAAAAAAAGAATACTTCTAATATATTTTTATAAAGCATAGAAGGTAAATACAATAAAAGCTAGATTGATATTGTTTTTGACTTAGAGCATTTCATATACATAAATGAAAAGAATGATAAAATAGTAGACTGTTATTTTCTCATATTTATTAATGTTATCAGATAATTACTAAGAATTCTATAGTAAATGCAAAGCATGTTATTCTGTCAGCTTTTTTTTCTTAGTATAGGTTGAATTTTGGCATAGTGCATACTTCTCTAATCTGTGTATTCAAAATACCAAGTTGCTTACATAATCAAATATTAATCATTTCAATGTATTTTAGATTACATTACATATCAAAACTTCATGCAATAGTTATAAAATCATTTAACCATTGTTCCATCTTGTCTAAAGAATTTTTTTTTTTGAAAGACAGGCATCTTTAAAGATTTTCTAAGCACTTGGATAAAATATGTATGATATTAAACGACTATTTCTGAGAAATATGACGATCTTCTTGACTCTAAATTACGATCATATACCTCGAGTTTGTATATAAAGAAAGATGATGATTTACGCAGCAAAAAAAAACATTCTCGCTTACTACCTCCGTACGTGAAACCATATTCGGGGTCATTTTAGCTTCTTATTTGTTCCTAGATGATTCTATTACTTCGTATACAGTCACAACGACAAACCTTTGTACAACTCAGCTATATAGACCGCTAAAATACGTTCGTACAAGATTCAACAAAATTATTTACGAGAATAAATAGATTTTATATTTTGCATCCTGAATGTAAGCCTCATATGTTAGAATTGAGAAATGACATGACTCTTTGTGGAATTCCAACTATACACCGCTTGGTATTCGAGCAGATGTCAAAAATCAATTAGACTAAAAGGAATATCTTTATTTAACAGCGAGGTTTATTATCATTAAAGCAAACACTGGGTAAAAGTCATAACCATTCTTTCATTTTCATGACGTCAACTAAAATAAATAGAATATAAATAGACTTTTTTTTTCAAAATACAAAAAAACCAGTGACAATTCTTTATTTTCATAAATTTAGCAGTATTCCTAAAAGAAATGTTTGCTAAAGGAATTAGCAAAACCGTCAAATCTTGTGGTGTCATGCCACTCTCCCCTCCATGGCCAAAAACTATAGGACCAATTTATTCCACCACAAAGTAGTGTAAAATTGCGACTCGCAAATCTTTGTTACAGGTGTTGTTGCATGCAATCAATGTGGATTTATGGCATGATTTTTATCGTTTCTATATGCATGTTTCATCCTTTACTTTTTTAACATATTCTTGTTCATTGTTTTGTGAAAAAATATAAATACATACCGTTAGCCAAGTTTTTTAGAACTATCAAAGTGGAAGCCAAAAATAGAAAACGAATTCAAATATATTTCTATTTCAATTACATCACGTAAGTATCATACAACAGTTTTTGTTATTTTGTACAATTTTTTAGCTATAAATTTTTTTTGCCTTTTGTCGGTCACATTAATTAAATTAACATCGGTAAAAAAATAGCAACGTGCTAATTTCAGAAAAATGACATGCTAGTGTAGTGATTCCAATTTAAGTGTTCCTTGATCTTTTTATTATACGAGTATGCATGTTAAAAGATTCTCTCTTCACTCAAGGTGATATGACGTCAATTTTATGAAAAAGAAAACATTAATGAGAACTTCCTAACATCTAACATGTTTCATTATATTGTTAAAAGTGCATATCTTTATAATTTCATCTAGACTTTCATTAAAAGTAAGTGTGCATAGAGTTCATTTCATCATGTTTTTTTTCGAATATCACCATATAATTATTATACTACGTAACGTATTTAACAATTAATATTCTATAATGCATTAATTTCGACTTTTACTTATAAAGAAAAAGAATTATTGATTCGTGTTTGCTTTTACAGTTAAATTTAAATGCATCGCATGTTTTTTTCAAAATTGTTTATTCTTTTAGAATAATTTCTCATTGATACTATTCTTAAATGGGTGGGTCATGTTCGACATGTTGTGCATCTGTTGTATTACCAACGAACCTTTCATTCAATGAAATACCAGTTTTGACTACCGTGTCAATCAATCCTAAATCCACGCGTATTATTGAAAATTGTATTATTATTTGGCTTTTTGATGATCCTTCAAATAAATTTGAAAATGAAAAAAAACAATTGAGTCGTCTCATTTATGGATTTCAAATATTTACTAATCCTGATACATGTATTAATTATATAAGAGATATTCAAGATGAAAAAGTTTTTCTTATTATATCTGTAACATATCAATCTGTTCAATATATTCATGATTTACCACAACTTGAAAAAGTCTATATATTTGATTCATTTTCTTGCGATGATCGAAATTGTACTTTATCAAATAATACTTTTCATGATATTAATAATCTTTGTAAACAATTACAATATGATATTGAATTATGTGAATTAGATTTAATATATTTTTCTGTTATATCAAATTCAATGCATGATATGAAGTCATCTATGACTTTAACTAAAGAACAAGCATCATTTGTTTTTATACAACTTACAAATGAAATAATAGCTCGTCTAAAATTTGAAAGTGTTGCTAAAGATGTATTTATAGATTTTTCTCGAAAACATTATACAAATAATCCTGAACAATTACATCTTATTGAAGAATTTGCAAAATATTATCGCCCAAATTTAGCACTTGGTTGGTTAAAAAGATCATGTTTTATTTCGAAAATACTAAATCGTGTAGAACGTACACGTGAAATTGATATTCTTTACAAACTTGGCTTCTTTATCAAACATCTTAATGTGCAACTATTACGTTTATATGAAGAGAATGAGTTACTAATGAAAAATATCTCTATTGTGTATCGTGGTAAAACTATGTTGACTGAAGAATTTGATGCATTAATCAAGAATAGTTATGATGGTCTTTTATCATTCTCTAATTTTCTTGTAACTACTATAAATAAGGAAAATGCTATCGATTTTATTCATCGTCGACTTACAACACATCAAAATATGATTGGAATCGTTTTCGAAATACATATTGACCATATGATATTTAATGAAGAAGCTCCATTTGCTCTACTTACAGGCAATTCGACGAAAAATTATGAGATCTGTTTTAGTGCGGGTACTGTTTTTCGAATCGAATCAATTAAACAATTTACAGATAGTTCATTAATAATCTGGTTCGTAACATTAGTATTAATTAGACATGATGATCCACAGCTGGAACACATCTTAAAACCATTTCGGACTAGTGAACTACATGAAAATCCACTTTCACATTTAGGTAAACTACTTATGGATATGGGAGAATATAGACGTGCTGAACAATGCTTTCTAGAAATGCTAAATGACACTTCTATTCTAAGTCAACCTCGCCGTCTTGTACGTGTCCATAATGGACTTGGTGCTAACTATCTACATAAAGGCGACTATGCTTCAGCATTAGAACATTATAAACAAGCACTTCAAGTGAGCTTAACATATTTATCACCAGATCATGATGAGCTCGCTCCCATGTACAAAACTATTGCTGATTGTTATTTAAATCAAAATGATTATAGTCAAGCTTTACAAAACTATGAACGAGCAATCAATTTAATAGAGAACGGGCTAAATTCACCAAAAGCTCACATGATTACTGAATTACGAACTCTTGTCAGTACAACGAAGGAACTAATCGAAGAAAATAAATAAATGTTCTTTGCATTATCACATTATTAATTAAACGGTCTTCAACCATGTTTATGTTATTCTGATGAATTGCGATGTATTTTGTAAATATAGAATTGTTTTCATTAGATGAAAACATATTAGTAGATTGCTGAATTTCGTTTTCTTTTTAACTTACGACGTAACATTGCCAGATGTCCAATCGTTTTTTTTCTGGTAAAAACGATTTTCATTTGATGAGCACTAATGAGTAATAGAAAAGTATAGAACAGTTTAGTTTTCAAAGCCTTCGTTCTTGGAATCTCAAAAACTTACTGGGTTTTTCAATATCGACTTTCGACTTCAAAATTTACATGAAGAAAATTTTCAATGAGAATAGTCCGTTGAACAAGTTTTAACTTTTCTAATATTTCTTATTTTGATAGATTGAATATTCGAAATTCTTGCATGTGTAAAAACAAATTTTATTCATATGTTTACATCTCAAAAAAAGAAATAATACTTGCAAAATTAACTAATATAATTAAGAACTTTGTTCATTCAAAGTTTGCAGTCAAAACTTCAAAGTCGATTTTTTGCATGATGACAACTTTGCGTTGAAAAACTCAGTAAAATTTCTATATCTCGAGAACAAAGGCCTGAAAAACTAAATTATTCTGCGTTTTTCTATTGCTCATTAGTACTCATCAAATGAACATTGTCTCGATCGAAAAGCGATTTGATATCCAAAGAAATTTCCTCATTAGTAAAATTAGTGATATATTTAATAATGTATATCTATTTTTTAGGAAATAAATTGTAAATTCAATTCATTTTTATATTCATAGTGTCCTAAATTGATTAAAAGATTTTCTCTTCTAAGGATTAAAATAGACGAAAAAGCTGTTGTTGAATGTTGACAATAAACTTTTGCTTATATAATTAAGCAATCATCGATTGTATTTATAATATTGTATTTGTTATCTAAAATTTTACATACATGTTTGGTAGTAGACATCACAATATTAAAGTCTGTTTGAGACAATCTAAAGTAACTTGATAATACAGAATTCATGAATTTTGCACTCTCAACATTTTATAAGAGAACTAATAAACAATGCTCTTACTTTTTGTAAGTACGTTCAATGTTCACATAAATGCTGTTCTCTTACTTAACTATCTTATCTATTTACATTCTAAGACAACATAACAAGTTTTATAATGAGCTTGTTTCATTTTTATTTCTATTGAAAGAAATCTCAGTCGTCCAACAAGAAGAGCTACGTCTCGAGTTCCTTTTTTTTCGTGAACATCCTGGCTGGAATGTTTTTGGAAAATGCAGGTGGTAGTCAAGTACCTACATCAGTAATTAATTCTACTTCAACATATTATTCAAGATCATATGTACAAGTTGGCGCTGGATATGAACAATCAAATGAAGCAACACATATTGTAAAAGCTGCTCATGATTTTTGTTGTTAAATGATGAATGGTAATGGCATTGGTGAAGTTGTTCTTAGTTCAAGTACTATTCAATTAATTCATACATTATCTCATGCATTTGATAAACTAATTACAAACGTAGATGATGAAATTATTTTGACAAATATTGGACATGAAGCAAATTATGGTGCTTGGACAAAATTACGATGAAAAATTATCGAATGACAAGCACATGAACGTGTTAATCTTGATGATTTATCAGCTTTGTTATCAGAACGTACACGAATTATTGCCATACCATATGTTAGTAATCTTATTGGTGAAATTCTTGATATTGAATCTATTGTAAAACTTGTTCGTCAAAAATGTCCATGTGCACGTGTTATTGTTGACGGTGTAGCTTATGCATCTCATCGAGCTATTGACGTTCGTCAATTGAATGTTGACTTTTTATGCATTTAATATTTATAAAGTCGGTTATACATAACATTATATGATCTATGTATTTGAGAATTAAAGTAAAAATTTGATTTCAAATAATCTGTAGTGTTTCTTTTGTAAATAGGTTTATAGTTCTCATATAGCTGTTTTATATGGTTCAAATGTTGCTTGGCAAGAACTTGTTGACATATCTGCTATATCTAATCATTTCTTTATCCCACAATCGGATATTTCCTATCAATATGAACTTGGATGTCTTAATCATGAAGCGTGTGCACGTATTTTAGGTGTTAAATCTTATTTTGAATGAGTTACCAATGCTCCTAAAGATCAACCAATAAGAAAGACTAATGAACGAGCATACAATATATTTACTGATTTTGAACGTCCTATTGTTGAATGAGTTTTTCAGTATCTTTCTACAAAACCTGATATTACCATTTTTGGTCCACGATCAACTACAGCTCGATTACCGACTATATTAGTTTTATGTCATCTTGTTTATCTTCAAATGAAATTGTCAAACAACTTCATAAACATAAAATTCGCTTGTCGCAATGAACATATGTATGCTTATCGATTACTAGCTTCTTTAGAATTAGATATCAATGATGGTGTAGTTCGTCCTTCTGCAATACACTATAATACAATGGCTGAAATTGAACAATGTATACAAATACTTGACGCTATTTTGTCGAATTCGGATACTCAGACAAAGACAATCAGTCAAAACGGACTAAATTCATAGATTTTGTTGTCATTAGTAACATTTTAATAAGAAATAAAAATCATGCTATAAACCAATTTTGCTTTCTAATTCATGTGAATTTTAGTAACAGTATGTTTGGTTTTAATGTGAACCGTTTTGCATAGAGAAAAACCCTAACGAGAGCAGTTTCAGATCTTTTGTTTTGCTTTTATCCTAAAATACGAACATAAAATCTGCTGGTTTATATGTGTGATGCAAAAGACACGCTACTACTATAGTTGTATTTCAGGATAGAAACAGTTATAAGACCTAAAACATTCGCAAAAAATCATTTTTATCAAGAACTATCTCTATGCAAAGTTTCAATTTCGAAAATCAAAAACTAGCTGTTCTGATATTCTTGAAAGATCATGGCATTTATTTAGAAAAGTTGTTAGCATAATCCTTGTAGAATAAAAGTATGAAACACGATACGACTACTATTGCTAATCACAGGAAGATTGTGTTACTCTATTGATCTTGAGATAAATTTCTTCACTCACCTTAAACTTAATTCTCCAGTTATACAATAAAGAAATAGTTAATATATTTGAATGAGCTGTTATTAATATTCGATCTGTAGGAGAAACGGGAAGATGGGTGCTAATTTCTACGCTACATACTTCAATAGTCCTTTTATACTATATTGTTTCACAACATATCATGAAAGTGCAGTGTCTTCGTAGCAGTAAATTAAAGACAAGAACTCTTCGGAATATTCATAGCTCATTTGGATCTACATAATACATAGAGTCTAGACTAAAGATTGATTGAACAGATAGAGAGCTTCCCTCGTAAATGTTCAGCTGGAACAGAGATCCATAGGACCTAGCACGAATTAGATTTTGTTTGGTGCTGGTTTCATTTAATTAACATCTTGTAATCATAATTCTAAGCCCATAGATTATATATATAACTTATAAAAAACTAAGAAAGAGTCACATAAGTGTCGATATGAACAAATAACTTTGTATAGTTAAGTATTGGTCTTAATATTAATGGTATCGGATGACTTTTCTAGAGACAAGTAAATAAATAATACCAGCAGTCACCACAAGTATACCCACGGTAGTAACTATGATATTAAACACTAATGCCAATGTGCTCATTTTTCGAGCACTACTGATGTCATTTTTTGCTTTTTTACTTCGACAAATAAGAGAAAATATGAGAGGAAGAATACCAAGTATTAGACTCCCAAGGATTAAATTAATGATAGACCAAGCTAACCAGTCCTGAATCTTGCTTATATTTGGTTGGGCTGTTCGTGGTGGAGAATGTTGATATGGATAATATTGATAAGAAGGAGGCACATAAACAGGTGCAGATGCAGTTACAGGTACTGGTGCAGGTTGTAGTACTGGTGCACTTGGAGATATTGGTACATATTCAGTTTTAGATTCCGTTTTAGGTGGATCAAGAGTATAAGCATTCATAGTCGCTATATGTTCGATGTGATGAAATGACTAAAAAATACTTCTCTTTAAAAAACTTAAGTATGCAGTTATATATGAAAAAATACCGAAACGATTATCAATATCAAATTACTTCCATATTCAAATATGAATCAGATATTTGATGCATAAACATACAGATGAATCGTCAGATTTTTTATATTTCTCATTTTGTCGATGTTATTCTAATGGTAACTTTCATAGTGAGGATTTGAAGATATTTGTCGTTGGCTTGACTTTTTATTCTCGTCTTGTTGTTAGAAAAACATATAGGAAAGGACTGATCACGTAAAGCATGATGAGAAAGATGATATTGCAAATACTAATGATCTAAATAAATCAAAAACAAAAGTCTTTTATTTTATGTGACCTTCTTGTCAACATATGCTTTATCTTAATATTTTCAGCAGTTTATATTAGATTTCATTACTATTGACATTCTTATGTTTTTTAAAGATTAAGCACCTTATACCATCATTAGTGATACGCCCATGTTAAAAAGATTAATTAAAGGGTTAAAAACAGACTAGCCTATATCAACAAATCTTATATTAGTTAAGAATGAAAGAAAACCAAAATGCTTTTTCACAGCAGATAATCAAAGAAAAATGTGATTAATTATTCCACTAATAATAAGAGTTACATACCCTATAATTTTCACTTAAACCGCTGCTATGTAATAGATGTTAATAAAAATATTTAAACTTGCACCGATTATTTTTGTCTTGTTTATCAGGTTTATAAAAGTACGACCTTTTTTTTTCAATAGGTTTATTTTTATCAATTTGTCCTTCAACACGGCTTAAATGTCTATAGAACCAAGTCAATTCTTCTTCCACCATCCAACATTCCATATAAATATGAAATAAAATGCTTCAAAATCATGAAACATGTGCAGAAATTTTAGGTGTTGAGTTTTATTCTAACTAATATTTCTATACATCTTATAATGAACAGTAGATGTATCTAGAATTAAAACGTCACACTTAATTCATTTATTTTATATATAAGTCTTAATTATAAGCACGTGCAGCGGGTAATACTATTATTTAACAAGATTTGTTTTCAATCTTTTCCTCTATCGTAACGGCTAGAACGAGTCCAAATACTGATTCGAGTAAATGAAATTGTTTCCAACAGGAATATAAAAAAGTAAGAATTATTATCTTGTTCACAAAGACAGAAACTCTGAAAAACCAAAAGGCTAATTTTTTTAACACTAAGAGTGTCTCAATGTAGTTTCGTTTAGAGTACATAGAATACTAGAGGAAGTAATTGTCTACAAAATGAGAGGCCTCAGAGTTCTCTATAACTTTTTTTAAGTGAAGATACGTGAATTGAATCTTCAACTTTCAACTAAATTAACAAAATTATATTTACGCGCTCCAAGCATTGAAAAATTAGAGTTTAGATTTTCTAAGGTGTTTATATTTGGAAACCTAATAATGATTGTTATTTCTTTATGTTCTGGTTAGAAAGCCATTTTCTCCATTCAAGTGTCTATTTTGACTCCTTCTAATGCTTAAAGCAGTATAGAAAACGATTAAAAATTAACCTCGTAGAATAGTTTTCGTATCCACTATATGTTTGAATCTTGTGTTCAGCCAAAAAAAATTCTATGGATACTGGAAGCTTGAAAAAGGCGTAAAACAAAAAACGTTGATTTTAAATTTGACAAAAAAAATTCGAATGCCTAGAATATCAAGCAAAGTTATCTCTACATATTTCAGCGTTCAAAGTTCATGAGATAAAAGTACATGGCAAGAATTGAATTTCCAGATCGACATTTTGAAATATTTATCAAACAGCAGCTTGAGTTGATAGTTGTTTATCGAGCTTTACCAAAGATGCCGAGAGTGCAACATCAAGTCGAAAATGATTTATGATTTTACTTGAGTCTGACAAGATTGTTGATAATTTTATAAATCAGTTAACATTAAAGAGTTTACGATATGAATAATTAATTACTAGAATGTAGAATCGTAACCAGTATGTTAGCTGATAGATACAGGTTTTTCTTTAGCGGCTGGCATGAAATTGTTTTTGAATTTCAGTGTATTTTTTTTTCAAAAAATTGAGCATAAGAGTTTTTTTTTCTCCCAAATGAAAAACTTCAATAATGTCAAATACTATCTTGCTGAGGAAAAATGCGTCAGACTATTCTATTCAGTTGAAGCTCATCATATTATACAGATCTTATTTTTTCAATCCATTTTCATATCAAATAATGTTATCAAAAAAATATTTAATAAATATTTAGACTTGCAGTTTATCATAGATTTGTTTATATTTTCCCTACTGTTTATAGCTAATGTTTCACTTACATACATGATAGATAATAAAACGAACACTATGTGACATGTAGATTAAATATACAATTAATTAATAGCCTTCGCGTTTGACAAACCGCTAACAAATGTGGAAAGCTTATACATAATTTGTAGTCTCACAAACTTTTCTATTCACCAATAGATGCTAAGACACAAAAACAACGTCGGGAAATAAACAATAAATGCACTTAAAAATGAACTGTTATTTTATGATTAAATGAAAAGAAATAATCAACAAACTTTTTTTCTTTCGATAATTTATATTTGAACAGTAAGAAAAAGTAAAGCAATAACTGTTTCGCATTTGCATACTTATGCTATTAGATAATGAGAATCAAATAATTTTGATTTCAACTGAAGTATTTCATCGGGTTACATGAATTTCGGCCCAAGAATTTTTCGTCCCAAACTTTTCGGCCCGGTCCAAAATTCCGGTGATTTTTCGGTCCAGACCGAAAGTCAGATAGGAATCTTGGTCCAGTTCTTAAATAAATTTAATTAATTAATTATTAATTAGTAAACTTCATAGTGCTGAGCACCATGACTTTTCAAAAAATCATTCTACTGAGCAGTATGGCACAGTGCTGAGCAGTATGAATATTCAATAAATCATCTTGCTAAGTGGTATGATATAGTGTTGAGCAATATGCCGTAGTGCTGAGCAGTATGAATATTCAATAAATCATCTTGCTAAGTGGTATGACATAGTGCTGAGCAATATGAAATTGTGCTGAGCAGTATGAATACTAAATAAATTATCTTGCTAACCAGTACGAAT